TTGGCTAAATCAGTGATATTTGTCATGCCTACATATGCTATGCAAACAGCTTGGATTCTTAAAGCTGTGTGTGAAGATATTGAGAAGCATACTCGTGGCTTTATATGAGGGTCTTCTAAGGAAAAAAGAGGTACCCATCTGGTGAAATGGGAAAAAATGTGTTGTAGTAAACAGTGTGGAGGTGTTGGGTTGAGGGATCTAAAGACTTTTAACCAAGCTTTTGTTATGAAGGTGGGATTTGGTATTTTGACTAAGAAGGACACTTTATGGGCCAGAGTTCTGAGAAATAAATACAAAATGGAAGAGGGTTTACTGCCTAGAATCTCGAGATCTGTGGGTGATAGCAACATTTGAGAGGTATATGCTCTTCATGGAATCACATATTGGCAAGATTTAGAATATTTATGGGAAATGGTAGACAAACTAAATTCTGGTTAAAATGTTGGGTTCCTGGAATGGGGAGACTTATGGATAAAGCTATTATCACTGTACCTGAAGATGCTCATAGTTGGAAAGTTTCCTACTGTGTGGCTCAGAATGGTGGTTGGGACTGGGCTAAATTTAGTAGATATTTTACTGAAGAGGATTGTGAAGCTATAGCTGGAGTTGAAGCGCCTAAGGATGAGGATGGGGAACATAGAATCATTTGGAAACCTTCTAGTAATGGTATGTTTTCTGTTAGATATGCCCATCATTTTATTAAAAATGATTATCCTAGTATGCTAAACCAGAATAATCATCGGGATCTTGCCTGGAGGTGGAAGGGTCCTAAAAGGATAGAACATTTTTTATGGCTCCTTCTAGGGAATAATCTTTTAACAAATGATCAAAGAAGCCTAGACACATGGGAGGAAAGGCTCACTGCCCCAGATGTTTATTCCTCTCTGAAGATTGTAACCATGTGATGAAGGACTGTTCTTGGGCTAAGCAGGTCTGGCTTGTTCTAACCTCTAATTCCATTTGCAATTCGTTTTTTGATGGCAATTTTCTTGAGTGGTTACAAAGTAATTTGTGGAAAGGGAAGGATAAGAAGCAAGATCAGATATGGAGACTCACTTTTGGAGTCACATGTTGGGTGTTGTGGCAAGCCAGAAATAACTTTGTTTTCAGGAAAGAAGTGTGTTCCCCTGAAAGTTTTTGCCACAAGGTGAGGATATATGTTAATAATGTGGTACATGCTGAATCAACCTTAGATGTGATTGCTGATAGCTTGAGGAAGATGGAGGATATTGTAGTGCAGTAGAGGCCTCCCTTGGAGAGATAGATTAAAATCAATTCTGATGGTGCTTGCTCCCTTGATGGAACTAAGAGTGGTTGTGGGGGAGTTCTGAGAAATAGTGATGGAAGATGGGTAGTTGGGTTTATGAAGAAAGTTGGTCAAGAAAATGCTCTAAAGGCTGAGTTATGGGGTGCTCTTATGGGTCTTCAAGTTGCCTGGGATCATGGCTTTAGGCAAGTCCAATGGGAAGGTGACTCAACTGAAGCTTTGCATCTAATCCAAGATGGTTGTTCTACTGACCATCCTCTTTTCCAGGTGGTTAAGAGAATCCAAGAGATGAAAGCCAGACAGTGGAAGGTGGTGTTTAATTATATAAACAGGAAGGGGAACGAAGTAGCAAATTGTTTGGCTACTAAGGTAGATCATAGGTCTTGGGATTTAGTTGTGTTGCCTAATGCTCCTTTGAGCTGTAGTAGATTTTTAGATAAGGATCTGTTGGGTTGTGTTAAAATCCACAACGATCCTTAGGTAACCTGTTTGGTTGTTTTTTATTTTCCTAATATCCAAAAAAATAATTTTGCTTTCATTTCTCATTTTGTGACCCTTTGTTTAAGCTGATAGAAGTCACATAACTGGTGCATTAACATTACATGGTCATTTAAATAGGCTGAAAACGAGTCAACCTGCGAGCAATTTTCGAGCATACGCTAACACGACTCGGGTCGGGTTGAATTTTTTGGCTTATTTTTTTCTCGAGACAACCCTAATCCGACTTGTTTTTTTCAGGTTGAATGCGGGTTGCGCCGAGCCGGGTTGCCCGTTTTGCCAACCTTACTCCCTCCCAAAATCAGTGATGGCCTTGGAAATTTGATCGAATGCGAAAAATATGATTTCGCGATTATATAAACTTGATCAGACAACTTAGTGATCAAGTTTCCATTTTAACCGGTTAAATTAGATAATTTAATCTAATTTTTACCTAAGCACAATTTTTCCGCAGACATTATTCATGACTTGAGCTCTAATCAAGCCGAGGACTAACTTAACGAGCTTCGACATGGACTCGCTTCCAATCTGCTAATGTGGGCATCGACCCTGTTTTCATCCTCCAGCATTTTCTCTCTCCCATTATCTATATTCACTCAGTATGATCTTGTCTCACTTGCATAACATTTTCATGGAAGCATTACTCTTATATTGTGATATTCTTCTTGTATATCTTGAGGGATTCACGCACATTTATCTTAGAATTTCCTTGAGCATTCAGACGCCCATATGAGTTATCACTCCAAATCTTGATTTTTCTTACTCTTTGTCTCACAAGTAGTCACTCAAAAACTTGGATTTTCTTGTCTAATGTCTGCTCAAGTTATTGCTTCAAATCCTAGATCCATCTTCCGAGCTCTTTATTTTTTATGTCACGGGAGTATATATGATGCGATTGTGTGTCTTCTTTAGGAACAAATCCACGTCCCCTGTCTTCGTGACTCCACTATTGACGACCTTAACGATTCTTGTTCAGCTATTGGTTGAAGGAAACCTAGTACTCTGATACCAAATGATGCCGAAAGCGTATAGAAAATATGGCTAAACAGAAAGTTATGATTGATTAAAGAGAAACTCACTGGTTATCGTTTCTATTAACAAAATTCAACTCATACAATAAGGGTCGTAAGCACCTGTTTATAGACTAATTACAAATTGGTCCAAAATTCAAAATCTAAAATATTAAAAATAAGGAAAATTCTTTAAATAAATACAACGATAATTAACTTCTGAAAATAATTTGTAAAGAACCAATTCAACCCAAAAACTTATGTTATTAGGTGAGGGCCTCTTTAATGTTTTATATTTCACTCTAGCATGTGTCATTACACAAGAGTCCATTGAGCTTAAAAGGTAGATGATGCATCAGGCTCAACCTATTTGTGCTAATAAATTTCATAATAAAAAGTGAGATTGGCAAGGATCGAGCCTAGGACACCGATGCCCTAATATCATGTAAAGAACCAATTCAACCCAAAAACTTAAGCTATTAAGTGAGGTTACCTTATAAAAAACAATTAGAACTGAATCATTCAAAACATGTCCAAAATTTTATATCTCAAATAATGCCAAATGTGTTCTTTTTCTTTTCTTTGCCAAATAAATCATAATCGTATTTGTTGCTTCATTGGAGTTTGAATTTAATCGTAATTTGTTATATTTCAAATTACTCATTTTCTTAACAATTGTTCTATACTTAGTTAGGCACAATTCTGATTGACTCATAACTTCTTCAATCAATGATTGAATCATGTCCAATGGAACAAGAGTAAATGCATCAAATACAATATACAACTAATATTAATATTAATATAAGATGATCTCGGCTCTTTTCATGGAAGTTTGGCGAGCTATTATTTATTTGTAAATTTTTTATGTTAATTTTAACAATTTTTTGAGATATAATTTTATGGGAAAACATTTTCTCATGTCGTAGGAGAGTTGTTTTCTTCTACTAGTGACCATTCGATTTTCGTGCAATATTTTCTTTTGCTTTTTTATTTTTTTAATAAATGTGGACCTACATAAGATGTGTTTACAACATGAGAAAAATATCTCCTAGAAAAAATTGAAACCCTAATATTATTGTTATAAAAGATTCATTTTTTTTTCGCCATTTGTTGTTATTACCTCTCAATAGTCATCCGTAAACACTATTTTTGTTTTGGAAATAGCATTTTCCTCAAACTCTAGCAAGTATGGTAAAAAATAAAAATAAAATTCCAAATAAGTGTACGTAATTGATCCGGTAATTCTCCATTATTGTTTTTACAAAAAATTGTTCCCTACAATTAAATTAGGGTTCGCTTTTTGTGCAATTACTGCAGATAAGTTATTTGCAGTAAGCCCAATACGACGTCGTTTTGGGACAGAAATCATAGTATTTTTGTAATTTTAATTTATTTTAGGGTTATAATAATCTTTATATTTATAATTTTTTAAGATTTCAATACCAAAACGACGTCGTTTTAAGAATAAATGCAGACAACTTATTTGCGGTAACTGCAGAAATATTTTTTCCATTAAATTAAGCAAAATGTATTTATTTAGGTTCAGCCCTTAATTGAGCTGGTGTTACGCAATTGGGATACTTGTGGTTTAAGTGTTTTTTTCTTTTTAAGTTTTATGTATTTGAATGTGCACGATATTAAGCTCTGATCATAAGTAACGTTCTAAGAATTTAAACCTTTATTATGTCGCGTGAGATATAAGATAGTTCATTTAACATTACGTCAAGTCTCTTGAAAGTTCATATATTTTATTAACAAATGTTGATAACTTCTTCTTTTTTTTGTACATAATGTTGATAACTTCAAGTTACATGAAATTGATAACTTTGATATCTAAAGTTATTTATTATATTACATACAATTTAGTTCATAAATTTAAATATATATTCGAGCAAGTCATTAAATATAAAAAACTTACGTTAACTTAGTTTTTTAAGGATTGGAAAAAAACGAAATTGATATAGCCATATAGGTTTTATAAATTCAAAGACAACTCATATACATAATTAAATTAATCAACTAAATTATACATAAAAAATTAATCCCAGATAGGAAGCTTACTCTTTTACTAATGTATTTTTTATTGATAATAAAAAAATGCGAAACAGCTAAAAAAAAACAGTGGATTAATATAAATTAACGAACAATATCTCCTGTCCCCACTTCCTGGTCTTAATTAAAAAGAGAGTGGAAAGCCAAAACCCTAGGAATTACAAATACCTCTGTTTGCATCTATTGGAGTTTTTGGCACTGGTTCGCGCTGTTGTTTTAACACTTACTTGCATCCTAACACACTTCGTCTCCAAACATGGGTCGGAAAAACGGCGCCGTTTTAGTCAGCGAACCAGTCGCCGAAGAGGTCCACAACAGCCCCGAACTCGAATCCGAGAAGAAGAAGAAGAAAAAGAAGAAGAACAAAGACAAGCATCAAAACGAAACCAGCCCCAAAAGAAAGCTCAACGAACTCGACCTTGAAAACGGCACCGAATCAAACAAGAAGAAGAAGAAGCACCACAAGTCGAATGAGAACGTGGAGGAAACCGACGCAGACGGTAATCGTGATGAAACGGCGACGGGCGGGCTCGTGGTGGTTACCGGGAAGAACGCCGGAGACGCCAAATATGCGGCGGTGAAAACATTTGGGGATTCTGAGCTACCGGAGAACGTGTTGGAGTGCTGCAAGGGTTTCGAGAGGCCTTCTCCGATTCAGTCCCGAGCGTGGCCTTTCTTATTGGACGGTCGTGATCTGATTGGAATTGCGGCCACTGGCTCAGGTTTGTTGCAGTGGTATGTGTTGAACGTAGCATGACTCGAATTTGGTTCTGATTTTTGGTGGTTTTTGGTATTAGGGAAGACGTTGGCTTTTGGAATACCGGCTGTTATGCATGTTTTGAGGAATCGGAAGAGTAAAGCGCCCAAGGGTCGGAATCCTCTTTGCCTCATGCTCTCTCCCACTAGGGAGTTAGCTCAACAAGTATGTATTCTGTTAATGAACTGGGTGTTGTTGGATTGGATTTAAACTTATTATGTAAGAATGTATATACTAGAACATGAGAAACCACAAGGTACCATCATTCATGAGCTTTTTTCTAAGATGATAATTTCATGTGAATTAATCTTACATTTCCAACTTCCATGGGCATTGGATGGTATTGCTGATTCACTAAATGATAAAATTGTAGCTAATTGTTTTCTTTTATTGTGTTATAGATATCAGATGTCATGTGTGATGCTGGTAGGTCTTGTGGCGTGGAATCAATTTGTTTGTATGGTGGAACCTCCAAAGGACCACAAATATCTTCCCTAAAATCTGGCATTGTAAGTTATCAAGTTCTTCCTTTCCTTTGGATAGTTTGTATCTGTATTCAGATGCCACTTGCAGTTACGTGCTTGTTTACTTCCTTATTTTTGGGAGCTTTTTCTTCATTTTTTATAAACATCGAATTAATATTTTAGTAATGCTTTTTTCATCCAGGACATTGTCATTGGAACCCCTGGTCGTATACAGGATCTGATTGAGATGGGTGTCTGTCGCCTAAAAGAAGTATCTTTTGTGGTAAGCAGTAGATTGTCTGGGAGAATTCTGTTGTTCAGTTCTCTCTTATTTTTTAATACAGTATTGTAAATTGAAAAAAAGTTGATATTCAATCGTATCTTTTGTTTACTGGACTCACTGGTGGGCAACTCGATTTGAGTGTTCTACATTTGCCAAAATACTAGTGTTGGAATATGCTCAATTTTGGATTTACATAGGATTTGCTGCATTTGCATCTCAGCTGAATTTTCTTTTGCTTTAGATAAACTTAGTTGCTCACTTCTTTTATAATTGTTTATTCCATTCCTATGATAATTTTATATGATGTACATGCTTGTTTATAAGTAACATAGACTGAGCCGTTTGCAAATATTATCATTTATTATTCTAGGTCCTTGATGAAGCAGATCGGATGCTTGACATGGGTTTTGAACAAATAGTTCGCTCTATACTGGGTCAGACATGTTCTGGTATGAGACATATTTATCAACTGTTGCCTGTTTTCTGGCCATTAACTTCTTCCTTTAATTTCTTCTATTTTATGATGTTTGCCTTAGATTTGTTGTAGTTGAAATGCTCTTAACCTTCAATTCTGATTCTCCAATGAGCTTGCATAGATGTATTTTGTTTCCACAATTTTCTCCCAGCTTATTTTTATCTCACTAGAGAGTGTAATCTTGTGCAGTTCGTCAAATGGTTATGTTCAGTGCTACATGGCCTTTACCAGTTCATCACTTAGCACAGGAGTTTATGGATCCTAATCCTATAAAAGTTTGTATCTTCATTTCCTAAAACGCTTTGAACTGTTGTTTTTATATAAGTTGTTGAAGGAAGAAATATTTAAATTTGTGACAGGTTGTTGTAGGTTCAGAGGATTTAGCTGCCAATCACGATGTCATGCAGATAGTTGAGGTGTGATTTATCACATGGATATTTCATATGTATTGTATTTATGTTTTTCATGAATATTAATAATTTTTTTTACATTCATAGGTCTTGGATGACCGATCACGGGATAAGCGTCTGGTTGCGTTACTGGAAAAGTACCACCAATCTCAGAGGTACTACTTCCTGTAATTTTCTGTTTTTTATTTAATTGTCTCTTTTTTCTCGGCGATCCATTACCTCTTAAAACTAGATATATCTTCCCAACATTTTCTTTTCTCCTTTTCTCTTTTTTTTTTTTTTTTGGTTGGGGGTGGGGTTGTAATTATGAAGTGCCAACTGCAATATATTGGCTGTTTACATTTTATATAGATCTTGCTGGCCTTCCAAGTTCCAAATAAAGGATATGGTCAGAGATGAAGTTGGAGATCATAGTTCAAAATTCGCTTTGTTTGTCTGATTTTTCAGGGGTGGACGTGGAGATGTGGATTATGTCTTCCCTATAGGAAATCAAAAAAGAAATAGGAGTGTAAAATCATAGTTATGAATATTGGATAGCGGTTGACCCTAAAATCACCGTAGTGGGATAGCTGATGACTGCCATCTTCAAGATTTTCAACGCAAGAAAATTAATTTATATTATACCAAAGTTATCAAATGCGGATTGCGGCATGTCATGGCTAACCCCGAAAAAACGCTATAGCGTTATAGTGGGTTGCGGTTGCGGAAATAGCGGAATAGATATATAACAGAAATAATGACAAAAAAAAATATTTTTTAAAGGTAGAGATAGCAGAAGTGACAGAGAGAGACGCAGATAAACTAAAAAACCTTTAAAGTTTTTCTGTTAGACATTTAAATTTAGGACAAAATTGACATTTTTCCTTATGACAACAGTATGGACGCGATTCGGCCGCAAATGCGATCGCAATGGTCGCTATTGCGTTCCGGTGCAACGCGACGCGGTTTCTTGCTGCGAGATACCGCAATAGCCATACGATGCGGTTCGTGACGCTATTGTGGCACAATTAACTACTATGTATTATACACATATAAATCCTAAAAAAAAGAAAAATTATCTAAAATTAAAGTCATATTCATAATAATCAAAAGTCATAAAATCTAGAGGAGTTGGAATTAAACAGAATGTGCAGGAAGAACACAACACAGCAAAAAAGAACAGAGACCTATGAGCTATGATGCCTGATATGATAAGATAGTGAAGGATGAAAGGGAAGAACAAAGATGCGTGAACAGATACCTGGCTGCTTCCAGAGAGCAGCGGATCTATTGGAGAACATCAGGGTTGGCCAGAAACAATGCCGGAGCAGTGGGTAATGGCCGGAAATGAAACAGAGATCATTCTTTGTCTTCTTTCCTCGAAACTGAGTCACACGTAGTGTTTTTTGACAAAATAAACTATGTATGTTTCTGATGTAAAATGACAGGAAAATCACAAAAATACCCAAAACAATGAGTTTGACAACTCAGAAAATATGGAGGTAAAGAAGGGGTTTTACGTTTTACCCCTGTAACTAGTCAGTGGCAGCGAAAGCCACATTTTTTCTGTGATGCAGATGCAACAGCTGTGACTGAAAAACACTCTGCTATAGGATTCATATAGTGGCCTGAGGCCACGGCACATTGTTCCACTGCTGCAGCGTGGTATTAATAACTATGTGCAAACTTATGCTAGATTGTTCATATAGTTTTCCATGACTTAAGCTGAATTTTCTATATTTCTGTAACATGACGAAAAATGGTCAGTTTCGGATGGTTGTTTAATATATATTGATACCTTTTTAACTGTTTGGTTCTGCCACATGTTGCTAAGAGCTTTAACCTTTTTCCCAGGAATCGAGTATTGGTTTTTGTCTTGTACAAATGGGAAACCTCTCGAGTTGAAAAAATGCTTCAAGAAGGGTACATTGCTACTATTGCTGCTTTATGTATACACATTTTCCAATAATTTTTCTGTTGAAAATATCTGGTGCTATCTCTAAGCTGTTGCTGATATAATTGTTAATAGCTACTTATGATATGTCAAATTCTATCTTCAGGGGTTGGAAGGTCGTGTCAATACATGGGGACAAAGCACAACATGATCGTACAAAGGCACTATCATTATTCAAGAAGGGAAGTTGTCCTTTGATGGTAAGCTGTTTTATGTTGTGATTAATAATTGTTAATTGTACGAGTTTGTTGCCCCAAAATTTGAAAATACTTATAGAATGGTCTTTATGAGTCCCAGCAACTTTTGATTGTTTCCTCTACTATACCGAGAATTGTCATCATTTTATCGTTATATTTTTGCAATGTGTTTTCTCTACTTGGTATCTCTCGATAATGTTTTTCATGCAGATTCTTCTGTTCTTAGTTCCTTCCCCCTTTCAAAGTTCTAGTTTTACTGCATTAACCTGTAGATGAACTTTAATCCACTTTTTTATTCCCCTTGGTCCTCAAACCAAAATTGGATAGAATAGCAAAGGGATTATCAAGACAATCTATTTCCAAAATATAACAGCATTCTAAGGGCTGCCCTGAATGCCTGTAGTGGGTAAAGTATGAAATATGAAATGTATGCTTCTAGGGGAACTAGCTCCGTGTCTATTGAACCGTACTTGGTTCCTAAAACGTTCCCCACTTTATTTTTTGCTTTATTGGGTCAATTATTTGATTTCACAATTTAATGGGCAGATTGCTACTGATGTGGCCGCTCGGGGATTGGATATTCCAGATGTTGAAGTGGTGATCAACTATAGTTTTCCTCTAACTACAGAAGATTATGTTCATAGAATTGGGCGGACTGGGCGAGCTGGTAAGAAAGGTGTTGCCCATACATTCTTCACACAGCAGAATAAGGTAGTATTAATTCTCTTCTTGATATATTCTAGGTTCTCATTCGCTCCCCCGCCCCTTGTTTCTATTATATCATTGGTTTTTCTCGTTGTATTAACTAATGAATGAAAATATTTCAGGGACTTGCTGGGGAGCTGGTGAATGTTTTAAGAGAAGCTGGGCAAAATGTGCCAGATGCCCTCTTGAAATTTGGCACACATGTCAAGAAAAAGGTCAATTTTCTTCTCCACTCGTCTATGCACCAGTTCAGATTTCTTTGTGACGAAGCTAGGATAAACTTTTTCTTTGTTTGACTTTCCTTTGGATTTGTGCAAGACATTGAAATATAATTTTCTGCCATATTATAGGAGTCCAAGCTTTATGGGGCCCACTTCAAGGAAATTCCTGTTGATGCTCCGAAGTCTCAAAAAATAACATTTGACAATTCTGACGATGAAGACTAAATGCTGTTGACTTATTATTCCCTTTTCTGGTCTAATTATTTATTCCTTTAAAAGGAAATAAGAATAATTTGAGTTAAAAATAGATTAGCGAGTCTTTTCCTGTTGTAGCATGTGCTGATCAGTACTTGGAAGCTTGTGTTCTCTTCACTTTTCTGAGATGATGATTTTGAATTCACGTGTATATTTTTAGCATCTATTGTCTTCTAACGTTTAAAATTTTAGATTTTACAGTTTTGATTGATTTATTTACGTCGATTTTATCTCACACTTTATTATATATTTTTTTATTTTATCTGACTTCTTGTACATATCTTTCTGTAAACGCAAATATGCATGTTATACCAATTCATGTGCATTATTACGAGAACATTCTTTGTTATTAGTCTATTAGATATTGGTCATCAGTTGCTTATTACAATTTGGGCTTGTTTGATTTATGTTTTTTGTTTTCAAGAATTAAAGAATAAAATAGAATTCATTTGGGGTACTTAATTTTAATCTAATCGTTTCTGGAACTGGTGATTTATAATAGAAAAATAAATACAAAAATTAATTATTTTATAGAATTTTTACTCATGTCAAATTATCCCGCCGTGAGAGTAGCGGTGTTCATCAACCGATCTAAATCGATTCAAATTGCGGCAATCGAACCGAAAAATCGATAATCAAATAAATCGAAAATCAAAAAATCGAAAACAAAAAAAAATCAAAAATTTTAATTGGATTGGATTGATTTTTGGATGGGTTGATGAAAACTGATCCAATTTAAACCGATCTAATATTTAATTTTCCTCTACCTATTTGGGTTTTTTTTTCAATCATAGCCCAAAAATTTCTAAACTCAAGACTCATTAATCCATCAACTAAACCCAAGAAAAAATCTGGTCACATCTCATTAACAAAATTTTATTTTTGTAGAGCTTCATATCTTAATGCTTGAAAAAAAAATTATATTATAGTTTACTAATGCTTTTACATTTCAAAAAAATAAAATTTACAAAGCCAATATATATAAAAAATGTTATTTGTACAATAATCCTGAAATAAATTTTAGGATTTTTAAAAAATCGAAAATCGATTCCATCCAAACCGATAAAAATTGGATTAGATCGGATTGGATTTTAAAAAAAATCTAAACCGAATGGATGATTAGATGATTAAACCGAAGGAATTGAATCAGATAATTTTTGTTTCCAAAACCGATTGATAATTTTTGTTTCCAAAATCGATTCATTCCCTGACCGCGAAAACCACTACGTGAGAGTCACTGCTCGCTATGGTCAGCATTGTCATCGATGGAATTGTTTCTAGAGCTCCGTTACTATTAACGCTGGCATCTTAGATTCTTAAGCTCGTCAAATTTATTTTTAAAATGATTTTTTAGATATTTTTGTTTTAAGAATAATCTTATGAAATAAATATGAAAGACCAAAAAAAAAACTACAACAACAACAACCAGGCTGCCTTCAAGAAAGTTGAATTCTTTCGGATTTTTCTTCATTTTGATAAGCCAATTCTAAATTTTAAAAGTTGAATAAAACAGTATTCTTCGAGCATTAAGTACGAGCTCTTTTCAAACCTCTGCATGGGAGTTGGATTACAAGTTTGCCTTATTCAATTTGTGGTTAGTAAAAATTGCAAATATTGGAACTGGAAGGGTGTAAATAGTAATACCTTTATTGTTGTTTATATATTAAGGATTTGTTTTTCTGCAGTGTAGATATTAAGTCTGAAATAACATCGTTTTGAGATGAAAATTAAAGTGTTTTAGTAATTTTAATTTATTTCAGAGTTATAATAATTTTTATCATTATAATTTTATAATTTTTTAACTCCAAAATGTCGTCATTGGAGTGAATGCATATAATTTATCTAAAAATATTTTTCAGATATGTTAAATAAAAGTAAACCTGGGCACATTTTATTGGTTAGCACAACGTGATTTATAATAACATAAATCAAAAGTACTTTTGAGAATGAGTAGCACCTAGAGGCGTATGCCTCTTACAGTAACCACATCGTCCCTCTCTAATTTATTTACTTTTCTTTTTTGCTGTATTTATTTGAAAAGGAAAACACATTCTTCTTATTTCTATTTTTTTTTTTTTTCCTTTTTGGGTGGGGTATTAAACATATTTTATATATTCGGAAATATAAAAGACTTTATGTGAGTGAATTTGTGCCTATTCAATGGTCCTTTACACTAAATCTCTGTACTAATGTAGGAAGGAGATAATAGTGAAAATACCGACAAGGAGGAAGAATAACTTGAATTAACTCAATGGGAAGTAATAGTCTGGCTTGCTATTTTGACAGCACGGGTATCTGTGTTGTCTGGATACCTTGTGGGTGTTTATATTTCTTCTTAATTTTTGTTTCATTGTAATTTATTTTTGAGGAAACTTTGTTCATAGAACATAGTCACGTTCTTGTATTGCCCTAGAGAGCCATACCAGTCCAACTCACCAACATTTTAATACAATATACAATTATACTATCTATGTCGTTGCTGTCCATGTTGACAATGAAAAACTCTAAAATCTCTCCCTATTCCTGTCCACAAACATTGCATCATAAGTTAATTTATAAACGTATTGGGTTTCTCATCTCTTCAAGGGAGCATCCGAGTCAGTGAATATGTCAATGTCTTTTATTTGTGTCATCTTGCTTCCAATTGTAAATAATGCTGCAGAGCATGTAAGTGACTTTCAAAGCCTATTCTTTATTTTATGGATACTGTTTAATCTGTTATTGGACTCAATCTCTCCACAGGATATCACTATTGGATCATCTACACAAATATTTATGTTTGTGGTATGCTTGTACTGTTAAAATAGATTTAGTGTACACATTTTACTAAATCTTTATGTGAATAAACGAACCTGGATTTCTCCATGTCATAGGAAGACGTTTCATGAGTTTATTAACTTCTTAAAACAGAATATTGGTCAAAAGAAAAAGTTGATGATTCTTATTCTCTTAATATTGTAGATCCCTTCTGTGTGTGGTTGTTGGTTGGTGCGTGGGAAAAGAAATGGACTTGAATTTTCAACTCTGAGACTGCCGCACTTTTTATCACTGTGCTAGTAGTTGCATTTATGATGCAGGAATGTGATATCTTTTTTTCCTTATGAATTGTGTGGATGGCGGCTGTTCCCAACTTTGTAAGCAATTAATGGTCGGAAGATAGTTCTCTTATAAGGTAGTCAAGCTTGAAAATTTAAGGTCTAATTTATTGATTTAGACTGAAAAATCCATATGACTGGAGAGAAACAGAGGTGCTTTAAGAAATTCTGAATCATTTCTTGTTGAATATGTTCATATTTTTAAATTTAATTTTTAAGAAAATTAAATTTAAGGTCATATTCATATTTTTAAGAAAATTCAATTTGAGATTTGGTTTTATTGGTTTCACAATTGAACAATGTGAGCAAATTTAAAAAATAGCCACGTTTGGCTATTGTTTTTTTTAAAAAATAACAGTATATTAGCCACGGTTAAGATGTGCCTAAATAAGGATATGAATTTTTTTATAGTAATTAGCTACGGTCTTAAAGTGGCTAAATAATTATAAACGTGGCAAAATAAATGCTACCACATTCATAGAGAGTGTGGCTATATAAAACAAAAATCGAAGCTAAAACTTTGCAATGCCATGATTAGCCACATTCATTAAAAGTGTGGTAGCTTTATTTAGCCACATTGTTTGTTCCAATTAGCCACGTTTTTAAACGTTGCTAAACACCGATTTTTTTGTAGTGTAATAATTTGTTTGCTTATTTAACAGGTAATTTTGCAGAGATTTTTACCATTGAGATATATGTTGAACAAGTGAAGGTGATGGTTTTCAAGGAACTGGATTCCAATGTTCTCGACAAGAGGCTTGTAAAACGGGAGAAACATTTGGGAGTTTTTTTTTTTTCACCATCCTTTCAAAGATTTTTAATGTAACATTTATTTACGTTTTTTTTTTTTTTTTTTTTTTTTTTTATAATCTAGGAATTCTGGAATTTTTAATCTTGTAATTAACAGGTTTATAGTGTTTTTTAATTTATAAGTTTGTTATAGTTGAATTATTATTAAAAGTCTATTACTTTTTTATTGGCATTAATTATAATTTATTTAAATAGAAAAATAATATTATTACATTCGTGTAACAATATAAGGGTGATCTACAACTAAATCAATTATCACCATTTCAAATAGATTTTAGTGATAAAAATTATTAACCATTATAAAAAATTAAATAATTGATATTTTTAAAATAGTGACAATTAATTTGTCACTACAAAATCTATAATGTGAGATTAAATCATCCCTGTTATTGTATTTATTGTGACGATTATTTTTGTCATTATTATTTATAAATTTCAGTGACATTATTATGGTCACAATAAATATATTATTCAGTGACATTTAAAAATAACATCACTAATTTAATAGTGACTTGATTAATAGTGACGAATGTTGACAAATTGAATTATCGTCACAAAAATATCTTAGTGACGATTTTTATATGTTTTAATGACAATTTATGTCATCACAATAAATGAATTTTCTTGTAGTGAGGAAGAAGCAAATGTTTCATCTTCCAATAATGGAGATTGAGGTTTGAGAGGAATGAATCAATATGTAGATGCAAATGATGGGTCTGGAATAGAGCTCTCTGCTGTTAGGTTTGAATAATGAAGGTGGAGGAGAAAAAAAACTCACGAGAAAATAAAATAGAAGGAGGAAAATTAAATGGGTAGGATATCGTAACAACCAACTAGGGTTACGACCAATCAATTTCACCATTAGATCAATTATGTTGATCTAACGGTTATATTTATTTCCATCTTTGTATGATTATGATCCTCATATTTAATGTAAAAATATTAAATATGAAAAATCATAACCAGACAAAGTTGAAAATAAATATAAAATATTAAATATGGGAAATCATAACCATACAAAAATAGAAATAAATATAACTGTTGGATCAACATAATTGATCTAACGGTGAAATTGATTAATAATAATATTGGTAGTAACCTTTATAATATTGGTAGTAACCTTAATGAGTTGTTATAATATCCTGCCCCGAAATTAAATTGAAAAAATTTGAATTTTAAGATAAGAATATTTTTATATTTTTACATCATAGTTAAGAGTGGGCACTTGCCCCCCTTCTCTTGTACGTGGATCAGCCTCTGCCGAGAGAGTACTTGAAGCCCTTCAACCTCCCCCAAATCTCAAAGTTTTTGTGATGAGGG